GGAAGTAGGATTGCCCAACCTTCCTTCCGAGGAGTGGCTGGTGGGTTTGAACCTCCAGCCGTCTGGTTAGCAGGCAAGTGTCTTAGCCACTATGCTACCAGAGCTCCCAAAAGGGCAGCATTTCCCCAAAAAACAAAACTCAGAAGGAAGAAGGGGCAGGAAAGATGGGTGCATGGAACTGGGAACCCAGAAAGTGGGAAATGTGCTGTTAACATTGAGGAAATTGCAACTAACGTCATGAAACAAAGTGTGTACACAAAAAGAGTTGTTACATGGAAAATTACTGTGCTTTGTAAATTTTCACCCAAACCACAATGAAGTATTCATAAAAACTAAAAGCAACAAAAACGTTGATCCATTGTGGCCAGGAGACTGCCGGAAAAGGACATCTCCGGTTTGAAAACATTTCAAGTTCAAAGTTCAGTCTCCAAACCAGAGGGAGCTTGGTTAGGTTGGATTCACTGTGTTGTGTAGTTGGCATTTTCCGTTTCAGTATGGTTTAACGGTTGACTGAAATAGGAACCGTTCTCGGTGAGACAGCTTTTGTAGAGATGATTTTGACTTTTTTTGGAGGGGGAGGGAAGGAAACAAATGACAGAAAACCACCACCAGGTTGGATCCGCAAAAAGGATTAGTCCGAGGACACCTGGTTCTTGCACTAGTGCCCGAGTCTTGGCGTGAAATGTGAGCGCTCTGGCTCGACTGTAGGTACTCAGGTCACGGGGGCCGGCACCTCGAGATGCCACGGGGAGCGACAGCCGCATCCACTCGGGGCGTGGCGCGGCGCTCACCAGGCTATCAGCCCCTCGGTCTCGCTCGGCGTACACCCCACCCTGCGAGGACCAGTCCACCAAGGAGTGTGCGCCTTCCTTCCGGGGCGGGACCCGCGTAGAGCCCGCCTCCGAGTGCGGCGCGCCGCGGCCAGGGCAGATCTTTTGCGCGACGAGAGGCACTTCCGGATCCGGTGGCCGTCCGTCCGGGTACGCGCTGAGGCAGTAGTGGGCGAGTCGGCGGGCTGCTTTCCGTTTGCTCGCGGCCCGCGATGTTAGCGGGCAGCTCTGAGCCTTGGAAGCGTGAAGCAGAGGGCGACGGGGCGGCAGCTGTGCCTGCGCCCCCTGCCATCGACTTCCCCGCAGAGGGCTCGGACCCCAAATATGATGGTGAGGGACCCACAGTGCCGCGGCGGCGCTCCTGTGCCCTCGCCCACCCCCCTGTGAGGTGGCAGGGCAACAGTGAGCTTCGCCTCCGGACTTGGACGAACTCGGCTAGGCCTGAACCGGGGCCCAGCGCGGCGGGGCGGGGGGCGGCGGCGGGACGACCGGGGAAGGTAAACTTGCGATAGAAACAGCGCATTTCTGCGGCCCGCCGTTTTGTGTACGTGTCGAATGCTCGGCCGCCTCTCGCGCTGGCGCGCTAAGGACTTCCCTGAGGTCACTTTGCAGCTCTGAGCTCTGGTTTTGTCGACAGAATGAGCTTTGTTCATTAGTAGGATGGGTCTTGGAAGACCTCATGCGCTGGACAGTTTGCGTTAAGAGTATTAGTTCGTAGTCCTTCATGTCTTTTGCTTTACTGACAGAGGTGGTTACAGACTTCTCATAGTGAAGCAGTATGGACGCCATTCTTTTGGGAATATTTTCTTAAGGAAAGGCGATCTGCAATATTGGGAGGTCTGCACAGACTGACCAAGGCAGAGGGAAGGCGCGAGAGTTCACGGCGACATAGGTGAATGAATAATACAGAGCCAGTCCTGCAGTAACAGGGATAGGCAGACACTCAAGCTGAGCCGGGGTGGGATGGCGAGTGGCACTACACCCACGAACATATGTGTTTGATGGGGTATTTCAACATGTATTTTTTTAAAAAAGGTATTTTCTTACACGTTTGTAAGAAAATGGTTACTAGGAGATATTTAATAAACCAAATTACTCGATATAAAGTGAGAGGTGCTTTAACACATCGAGCCTGACCAGATGAGAGTAACCAGTGTTTTAAATGAAAATGCAATGTTTGTGTGCGCGGGCAGAGTGGATTCTAGCTCGTCATTACATTGCATTCGTTACTTTGGCAGTCTTTAAAATTGAATTGAATGTCACGAGTGGATTGAAAATTGCAAGCCCAACTGAAAAAGGTTTTCTTAATTTCTTTGATTTTCATCCTTAACTCTGCCTATACTTCCTGGGCATACCCCTTATCTGTTGCCTTCAAGTTGATTCTGACTCTCAGGGACCCTGTAGGACAGAGTATAACTACCTGTTTCCAAGGTTGTAGATCTTTAGGGGCATGGACTGCTGTGTCTTTCTCCCGTGAGGGGCTAGTGGGTTCTAACCAGTGACCTTTTAGTTGACTGCCGAGTGCTATAACCACTGCACCACTAAGGCTCTTTTCTTTCTTGACCATCAGGGAAGCAAAAACAGACTGGTGGTAACTTAAGTAGGCTGTTGCAGAGGGAAATTGTAAAATATCTATTTTTCTAATAGATGCTCCCCCCCCCCAGTATAAGGTAGTAGACAGCAGCTTAACACCTAAAATGTTATGTCATAAGAAGTCCCAGCTGTCAGCACACACGTCTGTCTGTCTGCTCTGTGATAAGAGTTTCTGCAACCAAAAGATATTGCTTGAAAGGAGTGATGATGGCAAGTTTTTGAAAATTGTTTTTCCTGGGTTCGGCATTAGAATGTTGTGTTTACTTATTACCTTTTCTTCCAGAGAGGCCCAGAATGTCCAGGTAGAGTTTATGTTTTACATGAAAAGTCAGATCTGTGAAACATTTTTCTGCCTTCTTGATACAGAAACAGAAGAAGTGATTTCTCTGTCGTGAGGAAGTCCGTCGTCTGCCAGTGAGCGGTAGAGTCAGACAGTTCGCAGTCGATCGACGCCAGCCTGTGTGCTGGTCAGCGGTTTACTGCACAGAGATTCTCCTCTAACCACGGGAGCCTCTGATTGGTTACTGTGGGCTGGACATTAGGCCATCAGGCGGCTTGCAGTGCTCCCCAGCCCGGCGTCAGGCTCCCGCTGTGGACTTCACGTCTGATAAAAATCTCATTCCTTTCCTTCCTTCATCTGACACCGAACTGATCAAAGTTTGTTTTTTTTTTTAACTTCAGATGCGTCCCCCAGTCTTGCCTGTCACTTGATAACGGACCATTTGGATTGCTTGTCCTTGGGAAGATTGGACTAGGCCATCCACTCTGCTCCCCTCCTACTTGGCAGAAGTCAGAACTCTAATTCACTTCAGATCCATGTCTTCTTTTTTATTTTCTATTGTGATTTGGGTGAAAGTTTAAAATCCATGTTTTGTTTCTTCCTCTTTTACAAGGGAACTTGACTTTCCTCTCAGCCCCCGTCCTGCTCTTGACCAGCACCTTGAGTCTTTCAGCTTCGGCCTTCATTTCCTGTTTGCCGCCTTCCTGCAGTTGAGGATCTGTGTTCCCTCTGGCAAAACTTCCTTCTCTTGGCTGATCAGTGAAGTCACGAAGCTGCTGGTCTTTTTAAAGTTGTCATTTTTTTCTTGATCTATTAGTTTCATCTGACTCCACTGTCCAACCATTTTTTTGTTTGTTTGTTTTCCCTTATTAGAAGAATTTTCTCACTGTAGAAATAGGTAAGTACCTATGAAGATAAAGAAGCAGAAAATCCTGCCTACCCAGCATCCCACCACTGTTAACAGTTTGGCATTTTAAAAAACGCAACAGCAAACCTTTCATGTTACACAATATGTGGGAAGTAAAGATAAGCATGAAGGAGAAAATGAAAACTCCAATTCTCAGCCTGCAGAGATGGCTGTTTACGTTTTAGAGTATCTAGACACAGCTCATTTTTGTTTAAAATTTTGGTTTTGAAACTGTCAAACAAGGGCATTATAAATGATTATAAACGGTTTAAAGATTTCCGTGTGATTTTATCAAAATGCCGCAAAAATTTAGAGAAATCACTCAGAAAATGTAAAGATGTGAAGGAAAAAGGGGGAAGTCCCCGATATTCACATCCTTGTAGTAAAGTCAGAAGCTCTGGTGGCACACTGGTTAAAGCATTTGGCTGTTAACCAAAAAAGGTCAGCAGTTTGAACCCACCAGCTGCTACACAGGAGAAAGATGAGGCAGTCTGCTTTGGTAAAGATTGACAGCCTTGGAAACCCTGTGGTGAATTGCTACCTTGTCTTCTAGGGTCACCAGGTGTCAGAATCAGCTTACTGGCAGTGGGTCTGGTTTGCACTCTGCTTCTGTAGCGATTGACAGCCTTGGAAACCCTCTGGGGCAGTTCTACCTTGTTTTCTAGGATCACCATGTGTCGGAATGAACTTGCTGGCAGTGTCTATGCTTTGCTTCTGTAAAGATTGACAGCCTTGGAAACCCTCTGGGGCAGTTTTGTATCCTCTGGGGCACTGTGAGTTGAAATCCACTTGCTGACAGTGGGTTTGGTTTTTTTTTTTGGTAGCCAAGTCACTGTTAACAATTTGGTAGGTTCATTTGCAAATAATGTTCCGAAGCTGTTGCTTGCCAGGGACTGTCCTAGGTACCAGCGGTCACACTGACTTGTTCTGCGTGATTGACTGTGTCAGGGTGACTGCAAAGCAGGTACACTGTCATTTTATTTATTTATTTTTTACAAATTGTGCTATCATGTCATTGCTCATGGAAGAGGCAGAGATTTTGCTTATTCTTTCCACTTTTTGGGGATATATTTATATAGTTATAAAATAAATATATTTAAACATTATGATCAGAGTGGTATGATAAAATGAACGTTTTATTTTTTGCTTTTAAATGCCACATGTTAGCATTTCCTCTGTGATAAATTAGCCTTTAAAAATGTTATTTTCAGATTACGTAATATTCTGTATTGTCATACGTTTAGTCTTTACATTGTTGTTAGAAATTAGCTCTGGTGGCGCAGTGCCTAAGGCATTTGACTGCTAACTAGAAGGTTGGAAGTTCAAACCCACCCGCCACTCCATGGAAGGATGACTGGGCAATCTACTCCCATAAACATTTACCACCTCGGAAACCCAGTGGGGGTTGCTATGAGTTGGAATTGACTCAATGGCAGTGGGTTTGTTTTTTTTTGGTAGTTGAAAGTTAGATTTGAGTCTTTTTTTCCCATTATAAATAATCACGGCTTGGGTATCTGTATATATAAATCTTTGTCAGTACCTCTGATAATTTCTTTTGAATGGATTGTATATGTATTTTTTATGTATAGATTTAATATATTTAATACGTTTTGCTAAAATGATGATCAAAAATGTCATCCTGGTTTATGCTCTCATGGATGAAACTGTTGGTGTCACCTACTTACATTATATTACTGTTTTATAGCCTACTTCTTTGACTTATTAATAAACCAAACTCATTACCATTGAGTGGATTCTGAGTCATAGCAACCCCCACTGGCTTTCTGAGGTGGTACATCTTTACGGAAGTAGATTGCCCCATCTTCCTTCCATGGAGCTGCTGGTAGGTTTGAACTGCCAACCTTCTGGTTAGCAAATACCTTAGATACTGTGCCACCAGAGCTCCTTACCATGCATAATTATGTTTTTATATTCCATCATTTCTAACATTTTTGTTTTTAGGTGCTCTTGAGTCCATTTCAACTCAGTAGATCTCATGTGACATAGTTGAACTGCCCCATAGGGTTTTCTTAGCTGTCATCTTTATGGGAGCAGATCACCAGGTTTTTCCCTGAGTAACCACTATATGGTTTTAGACCACTGATATTTTGGTTAGCAGCCTAGCACTTAACTGTTGCCCCACCAGGGTTCTTATAATTTCTAAAAGCTACATAGTATTCTAGTATATGTGTATATTATGCTGTAACAAGCTTTCAGATTCTGAAAAGTGTTGTGCTGAACATTTTTTTTTTTTTTTAATTTTATTTTGATTTGGGTGAAGATTGACAGAGCAAATTCACTTTTCATACAGCAGTTCACATATACTTTGTGGCATGTCATTGACCACAGTTTACCACAGTGCAACAGCTCCCCTCCCACTTCCTCCCCATAGTTACCTCCTCCCAGTGTCCATCCCTCCATACTCTCCTGCGCCCTGAGCTATCTCCCTGTGCATAAGCAGCCCTTACTTCTCCCATGATTGTTCTCTCCAGGGCGTGTGTCTACTTGAGGTAAATGTTTAACTCACATGCCTGTACTTTGTTT